AAACAAAGCTTGGAAGGTCTTGTTGCAGGCCTTTCAGCCTTGATGGTGGCCGTGCCCAGACCACCAGGAGCCTGGAATTAACCCCCCTCAGATCCACTTGACTACCATTAATGTTATCAGCTTCATCAAATGCTTCCTCTGGCAGTACTGTCTGCAGAGAAGTAAATAAATGAAGCTCTGCCACATCTTGTTCCTGCCCAGGATCCTGAGTCTGAAGTCCAGTCTGAGTCGAATTATCCGGAGCACTGTCTCCCTCCTTCATTGTTCCCAGGACCTGGGCAGGAACAGAGTGAAATCTCTCCAGGACATTACATCAGCTCCCTTTTCCCCTTGGCATGAAAGTGCTTCCACTCACTGCCCTCCCTCACTTCCTAAGGCTTGCCCCAACTGCACACCCACACCCCAGCCTTGAAGCCAGGACATCAAAGAGCCTGCAGGTAACCAGATTATTGACCAACGCCTGAGTCTGTTTTGTAATTTAGAGGATGGGAAATGGGTTTCGGAAATGGGCTGTTTTTTTCTAGTGCATGGTCTCCATGATCCTTGAGTCTTACTAACACCTTAATAATCTCTTAAGTAAATGAAGCCATCTTTTAAGCAAAGAGAGAGAGAGAGAGAGAGAGAGAGAGAGAGAGAGAGAGAGAGAGAGAGAGAGAGAAATTCAGAATGAAACTGCCCTAAGTAGTTACTTTCCAGTAATCACACTCTGAGAAACGCAAAGGAGCCACAATAAATTTGTCTTTATGGATGGTAGAATTTAGGACCTTATTAGCTATAAAAAGAATATTTGCCTTGTCATCAAAAGATCATTTCTGCCTTAAGATTATCAAATCTTAAATATTAGGATTTAATTAGACATGACACCATTGAGTCAGTATCCTAGAATTAAAATGAGGCAAATGGCGCATACCACTTCCAACCAAACATCTGGGCAAGATTTGTCAGGACTTCAAAAAGAAGCATTAGGTGGACATAGTAGCTCATGCCTATAATCCTAGCACTTGCAAGGCTGAGGCAAGAGGGTTGCTTTGCGTTTGAACTGCTACAGAGTGAAATCAGACCTCTTAAGAAAACAGAGAACCAAGGGATGGTGGTACACGTCTAATCCCAGCACTTGGGAGCCAGAGGCATGTGGATCTCTGAGTTCAAGGCCAGCCTAGACTACAGAGGGAGTTTCAGGACAGCCAGGGCTACACAGAGAAACCCTGTCTCAAAGGAAGGAAAGAGGGAGGAAGGGAGAGAAGAAAGAAAGAAAGAAAGAAAGGAAAGAAGGAAGAAAAAAAGAAAGAGAACAACCCTTTTATATGATAGAAACTATTAAACCCCTATAAAGAAGTAGAGGAAGGACCCTGTAAGGAAGCAGCATGTACCCACAACCACTGTCAAGAATTAGTCACCCCCCCCATGTAACTCCCAGTGTATCCATCAATACTTCTGGATGGGTCTGAAAAGGTAAAGGCCACTTATAAAATCAGAAGCACAGAATCCAGCACTTCAGCTAAACCCCAGGAGCTCCTCTGCACAACCTTTCAGTGGTCACCGGCTGGAAAATGTTTGCAATGTGAAGCAAAGTCTGAGAAAGGGCCTCAATGTTGTGAGCGGTGGGTGGGTCTCCCCAGCCCCCTCTTTAAAGCAGGTGGTCTGTTCTTCCCTCCCACCACCCCCACACTGCCTTCAGGAGTCAGTCAAACCCACACTCCACTATTCTTGAGACAAAGTCGACCTTAAGTTCACCGTATAGTCCAAGCTGGCCTCAAATTCCTGGCAGCCCTCCTGCCTCAGCCTCCCAAGAGCTAAGATTACGAGTATACACCTCCACAGCCAGAACAGTCTCTTTTCTTATGACTTTCAGGGGTTTGCTATCCGATGATGTTTGGGTATGCCTTCTATTGTCTATAACCGGCTTGGGTTTGCTGAGCTTCTGGAATTTTCTAGTTTGTTGTTGACATTGTGGTTTCTGGTACTTAAATTTGGCCAGTATCTTTTTCCCTTTTCCCTCCCATCCATTCTTTCTGCACCCTAGGTGTATTTGACTATTTGATGTCGTGGTTTGTGTTTGATTTTATTAAGTTTCTGATGCTTTCGTCTCGAGCATGCTATTAAGTCTGTCCAATCTGCTCTTACATTCCATATAGTGTACTTTTTGGTTCTAGAATCTTCATTTTTGTTTCCTAAGTTTCTGCTTTCTGTTTTGACAGTTCCTTTATGTCCTTACTCATTGTGACTGTGATGCCCCTGAAATGCTTATAGATACCTTAAATTCTTTTAAAGTCTCTTTAGCTAATCCCATCAGATTCACAGAATCTGTTTCTATTGGTGGCTTTTTAATAATCGATCCTATCTTCTATGTCTAGAAAATCTGCGTTGATACTGAACAGATAACACATTGTAGAGACTTTGGGTTTTGTTATATTCCTCTGGAGAGTATTGACTCTTAACTCTGGCAGGCAGTTAATTTATTAGCAAGTCACTTCTAGTACATGGAGTCTAATTTACATTTCATTGTGGCAAATCTGTCTCAGTTTTGCCTTTAGCCCGAAGCAAGGTCCCTTTGCACTGTAACACAGGATTTACTGCACTAACACACAGCCATGCTGGGGTAATGGACAGCCTGGGGTGTTGACAGTGCCTTTTAACTTAATGAGGCTCCAACTCTGATCTGCTTCTCCACTCCAGTGGCCAGGAGCTGAGACTTCTCAGAACGTTCAGCTACACAGCCACTGCTTTTCACTGTCCCCTGAGTGTGTATCATTCTGGAATCAGACAAGAATTTGAGAGAACATTAGTGTGCTGGGCTAGTAGCTTTCCTCTCTAGTGCTCTACCCTTGATGAAGGTTCCTCGAGTTTCTAGGGCAGCCACTTGTGTCCTGACAGCTCACATGACTTTCTGTTCATCTTGAGACTTCCTTGTGCTGCACTGATGAGGATACTCTTGAGGGAGAGCTGTATACACAATGTCTTGCTCTATGAAGGCCCCATCTCTTAAGAATAAAGCCCCTAGTGTTTTTGTCTATTTGGGGTCACTGGCCAGGATATTTACATGGCTGTTTTGAGTGTATTGTACCCAGTTTCTATAAAGTCTATCTGTAGAGGATTTGGTCTGAGTGAGCCACTGCCTTTATTGCTGTTATTAGATCCCCTCTCTCTCTCTTGCCAGATGAATGGCATCAGGGTTTAAATCCTTTACTGTCCCTTTCATATCTGATCATATTGGCTGCATACCAGTGCTCAACAAAATAGTAGCTATCTCTGATTCCTTTTTCCAGTTGATTAGTACTCTGTTATTTAGTGACCTAGATTTTGTTTGCTTGTTTGTTTGTTTTGTGTTTTTTGTTTTTGTTTTTGTTTTACGTGACAGGGTTTCTCTGTAGCTTTGGAGCCTGTCCTGGAACTAGCTCTTGTATACCAGGTCTTGAACTCACAGAGATACGCCTGACTCTGCCTCTCGAGGGCTGGGGTTAAAGGCATGTGCCACCTCTGCCCGGCGTGATCTAAATTATTAAGCAAGTATCCTATGAAATTTGTCCCAATGAGTAAGGATTTTTTTAATTATGACATCAGATCATACAGTAGTCATGAAAAAATACTTTCCCTTCCTCTGAGTCTTGTATTCAGTATTTCTTTTCATTTTTATTTATATTATATACTCTGCATGTATGCCTGCATGCACCAGATCTCACTACAGATGGTTGTGAGCCACCATGTGGGTGCTGGGAATTGAACTCAGGTTCTCTGGGAAAGCAGCCAGTGCTCTTAACTGCTGTGTCCCCCCATATTCAATATTTCTTTTGTTCACTGTCTCACGTGATAAGAGATGTAGTAGAATTTTTAAAAGAAAAAAATGTACCTCCATTTTCATGCTCAGTATAAGCCTTAAGGGGACTCCGTCTCTTTCTCTGCCTGCTGACCCTGGTAGAGGCCCATTTCCCCATATCTTCAGGTTCTTTGTATAAACATAGGTGCTATCTTTGACATTGTTTTGACACTTCTAGCTGTGGATAAGTCTGTGAGTGGAGTGGGGATCATCAGAAGTGTTCATTCTTCTACTGCCCCAGGAACACCCCATGAAGACTGATGTGAACTCGTATGTTATTATGGGCAGACACCTGGTCTGAGCTGTCGAAGAGAACACAGATCCCTGTGAGCTGGTCCAACCTCGGCCCAGCCCTATAGTTACTTTAGTTCTGAAGCTGTAGACACTTCCAGTGTTGCCCTCAGCAGCGTGTAAATTCAAGTTTGAGGGAGAGCGTGTGCTGTTGGAGTGCCCATGCATCCATCCTTCCTACTTGCCTCTGCTAACTCCGAGCCCGTGAGGGCATGCTTCTAAAAGCTCTCTTAAGTTAACAATCGCCACCGCACAATCAATAGCGGCTGTCGCTGTTGAGAACAGGTTTCTGTATGATTTTGTTCCCTGGGTCTCTGTGACACAAAGTGCTATAATAGGTTCGGGTTTTAGAACCTGATTCTGATCCTTTACCCACTGGCCCTATGGCATTGGTAGGTGACTCGGTTTTATCATCTGTGGAATGGAAATAATAGGTAATCTCCCTCTAAGAGTATTCCGGGTTTTAAATAATAACACACAGTACCTAGAATAGTCATCAGTAATCGTTATTATCAGTGGTAACAACCCCTGGAGTTGGAGAAAATGAAAACGTAAGCGTGCCAGAGCATCTGGAGAAGGAACCGTAAAAACCCTCCACCTCTGTGAGAACCCTCCACCTCTGAAACCTGCACAGACGAGTCAAGCGGGGATGAGGCAAAGGAAGAAATGGTTCCCTGTGTTTATCAGGCACTAACAGACGTTGGATGGAATGTTGATAGGCATTCCTAGTTTGTCTGGGGTAGGAAAGCGGTTTCAAGTCTGTTTTGGTTGAGCAAAGGGAAAGAAAGACACGGGAATCTGGGCTGGAGGGGCTCCATGTACCAGTCCAGCAATTGCGAGGTCACAGGGCTGCGGGTTTACCAGGATCTGTGATTGTCTTTCCTTTTGCCCACAGATAACTGTGTCCAGAGGACGCCCAGGCCACCTGCAGAGAGTGTGCACCACAACCCTCCCACCATTGAACTTTTACATCGCCCTAGGTCACCCATCACCACAAACCATAGGCCTTCTCCTGACCCCGAGCAGCGGCCCCTGCGGTCCCCTCTGGACAACATGCTCCGCCGCCTCTCTCCAGCTGAGAGGGCCCAGGGGCCAAGGCTCCAGCAGGAAAACAACCACCAGGAGTCCTACCCCCTGTCAGTGTCTCCTATGGAGAATGATCACTGCCCACCATCCTCGGAGTCCAACCCAAAGCCCTCCAGCCCCTGGCAGGAGAGCACTCGAGTAATCCAGCTGATGCCCAGCCCCATCATGCACCCTTTGATCCTGAACCCCCGTCACTCGGTAGATTTCAAACAGTCCCGGCTCTCCGAAGATGGGATGCATAGGGAAGGGAAACCCATCAACCTGTCTCACCGGGAGGACCTGGCTTACATGAACCACATCATGGTCTCCGTGTCCCCACCCGAAGAGCACGCCATGCCCATTGGGAGAATAGCAGGTGAGTGAACTCAGGCCTGTAACCATGCAGCAGCAGAAGCCATGCGGCCAGCCTCACCCACTCCCAGTATAATGTGCCTGCAAAGGTTTGGGGAGGGCAGGTGAGGATACTTCTGTCTGCCTGCATGAGGCAGAGTCCCTAATGGGCTGCTTAATGAGCCACTGGGAAGGGAGGAGTTAATGAGCCTCAGAAAAGGTGAGGAAGGAATGTCCTCCATCCAGCTCACAAGGAGAGTCGCCTCAGAATCACAGCCAAGTGAAAACATTTAAAATCAAAGGTTTATGAGTGCTCTAATGGCCCCATCCATCCTGAAGTTTCCAGGTGCTAATGAATGGCCAGACACAGCGTAAAGAACCTTTTTTTGTCTCGGGTTGGTGCCTCTAATCCTGTCCTAAGGATGGTGACTCAATGGTGCTTTCCCCTTGGGAAAGGAGGTAAAATTGGGATTGGGGTGTTAGTAGGCAGGTGCTGCTAGTCATTTAGACAGAGAAAAGCCCCTCCCGAATTCTTTTAGTTGTGTTGGAAAGCACAAATGGCTCTCCTAGCAAGAAACCGAGGAGGGTGGGTAAGAGTCCACCAGTTAGGAGTTTGCTGCCCACAGTTTGCACGGAATTCTCCAGAAGGTCTGTGCGAGTTTGGCAAGGTGAAGTCTTTTTCCCAGTGGGTGTCTCTCCCTTCATGAGATATTATGGGTTACTTGTGATGTATCATGTACACCATGGACTTAACACACAGCATCATCTCCCTTGTAGAATTGAGAATGTGGGGGGAGAAGCACACGTGGATACTATTAAGGTGCAGGGCAGAACGCTGCGAGTTTTAGTTCTTACTCATGCAGTGTGCAGGCAGGCAATCACTGAGGGCCTTCTGTGAGGCAGGATAGTGAAGTGCTGAGGCAGCAAAACCGGAACCGTTTGGACTGGGGGGGGGGGGCTTCACAAGGGACGGAGGGAATGCAAAATAAGTGACTGCGTTTCCCCGGAGTTAGGGCAGAGACCGGTTCAGGAGATAGGAATAAATGGCCCTTCCCTGTTGATGTGGCCGCTGCCTACCCATATGTGGCAGTTCCCAGACGCCTACTTCACCTACTTTACCTCTGCCTTGACTTTTTCTCTCTTTGGTTTTTGTTTTGTTTTGTTTAAATCGTTGGTTTCTAGATCTTTTTTTTTTTTTTTTTTTCTGACCCCTGAGTACACCTCCACTATTTATTGCCTCAGTTTTTATTGGCTGTGAATAATTTACATCAAAGATGTTGAATTAAGAAAATAAAATGGAGACACTGGGGAGATAGCTCGTTCAGTAGAGTGCTCTGAATCCCAGTGGTAGGATTGAGACATGCATTTTCTTGGGACTTGCTGGCCAGCAAGCCTAGTCTACTTGACAGCTCCAGACCAGTGAGAGACTGACTGACCCTTTCTCAAAAGACAAGGTAGACAGTGCCTGAGGGACAACACCCAAGATTGTTGTTCTTTGGCTTACAAATACACACATGCTCAAGTATGTGTATGTACACACACACACACACACACACACACACACGTGCACACACGTGCACCCACATGCATGCATACACGTAGAACAAAAGAAAATGGGTACGGAAGGTGTAGCTCAGTGGCAGAATGCTTGTTCAACATTCATCAAACACCAAGGTTTGCTTGTGAGAGCCACGGCAGCAACAGTAAAATGACAACTGTGACTCGCTTGTTTCAAAAACAAGTATGAAGCTTGGAGGAGGATGCTTGGTATTAAATTCAAAACCGACCTGCAGGTTTAGTGATGGGGAGGGGTGGGACATGCAGTAAAATGGGGTTCGCCATGAGGTATTTTGGTGGTTATCCGTGTGAGCGGAGGCATGGGGTTCCACTTATACATTAGATTTTCTTTATTAATGAAGAAACTGCGGGGCCGGTAATTAGGGGGCAAAAGAAGGGAAAATCTTACAGAAATGTGAATTTTCTCAGACAGCTGAAGGCGAAGGATGAAGAAGAATGATGAGTGCTGTAAACTTAGCTGCATACTGTCTTGGCTTGTTCCCTACATACGTGTTCTCGAGTCCCGTTGCTTGTGTATAACTCTCAGGACAGCCCTTGAATGTTGAATCTCTTTAATGTGCTTGGGTCATTTGTACAGGGGAAACCACAAAGAAGATGCAGCTCCAAAGAGTCCAAGGCTTTCCCCAAGGTCAGATGAGGTTGGGTGGCCTTGATGTCCCTTGGCTGTTGTCCTTGAGGGCCTGGCTGCCTTGTCAAGGTTTTCCATGTCTGCCTTCATCTCACCACAGACTTCTCGAGAATCTTAAGATAAGCATATAAGTCCAGAACAACAACATACATGAGATAAGGAAGGAGGAGGGAAGGAGGGATGAAGGAATTGTTTAGACATGCTGAGTGCCTTCCCCTTTAAAGTACACATCTGTCTCATTGAATTCTGCCACTACTTTTAAAACCATATATTCAAACATCAGTGGTGTGATGGACATAGGCTCATCAGTTAAGATGCAACTGGAGATCCAGCTAGTCAGTCTTACAATGACAGACTACCACATTTATCTCACTTGTGGGTTTTTTACTTCATGTATATACTTAAACTCATATAGGTACAGGCATGAAAGTGTAAGAAACTGTAGGCAAACAAAGGAGATGAACAGGAGCGGGGAAGAAAAGGGAGGTAGCAGATATGGTGGTCTATGCTCAAGTACTTTCGTGAAAGTGGCCTTATGCTATCTGGTATAATACAAACAAAAGAAACCGCCTGGAATATTTAGTCAAGTGATGAACCTTGGTATCCACAGATGCTTTGCTAGAGAACACTTCAAGCTGCCCTATGCTTTTCCTTGGCTCTGGGAAGACAGAATGTTCTGGAAGGTAATCTTAGGGCCAGATCTTCCGGAGGCAGTGCATTCTTCCCTACAGTATGGTTGAGTCCCATACAAATACGTACTCATGTTATACTCTTTGTGAATATTGTAAAATCTCTATAAATATGTATATTACCTACTGTATACAAGTTCCAGGTGAGCCATTTAAACAGGCTCTTTCTCAGGGATGAAATACAGGGTCAGGTTGGGTGGTCACTTAGGTCTCTTCCTGCTCTGCCATCTGACAGTGAGTCTTGATTCTCCAGCCCTCTGCTAAGGTGACTAATAGCCCCACACTTTGCATTTTGGAGGATCCCCTTACCTGCCTCCCTCAACCCTCTGTCTTTCTGGACTCCCAAGAGCTTAGTAAAGGTGATTCTGTTCATTGAAGGTCAAATTCTGTGAGTTACTGCTGTTTATACTGTAAGGTTCTGTCTCCTGAGCGGCATGGACGCCTTTAGATGTCTGCAACGCTGCTGTTAGATGAGAAAACATAGTTCCTTGAAGCCCTTTAATTGAGCACAGCACAAGAAGAAATGAAAGTACTGCCAAGTGTCACACTGATGAGTAACTTAGCTGGAGGGTGTAGGCAGAAACACTACTTAGCAATGTGGAGCAAAACACAAGTACACATCCTTACTGTTTGGATATGATTGGCTTGGGTAAAGGAGGATGTAGGCATTCAGACACCTAAGAGGGCTGTGGACTGCATTCATGCAGGGTGGGAGTTCACAGAGGCATAAGACTCAGTCTCTGGCACGAGAGAGCAGAGGACATTCACTGTAAAAGTAAAGCATGAGGTACACACGGTCTTACAACTACTGAGGACCACAGGAGATCTGGGCTGCCTTTTGGATCAGCTTAAAAGCATGCTCAAAGGGCAGGGTATGGGGGGATCTGCCTTTAATTCCAGCACTCCAGGGAGGGAACGGGACAGAGGCAGGCAGATCTCTGTGGGTTCATGACCAGCCTGGTTAACATAGTGAGATCTTGTCTCAAAGTACAACTTTTTAATAATTAAATAAAAACACCGCTTAGAATGTGATGAGTAAAGAAAAGGAAGCCATTCTAGATGGAGAAAACTCGGGAGCAAATATATGATACAAAGACCCATGCTCACGTCTATTTCCAATAGAGATATGAGGCCATGAGTTCAAGTCTGTGAGTCAACTGAAAAGTCACTTTCCACAAAGTTAAGTCTATTTAAATATAACATGTTTATTACTATTATTTTGAAAATTCTAAGAGGGATTGTTATTAAGAGATTAACATGTTGGGGTGCTGGGAGGTAGCATGGCTATGTAGCATGTACAAGGTTAGTTTAAGAAGTCAGAAAATTTGTGGTAGAACATCTCACAGGACAGATACCTGGGTCCTGTTTTTATTGACCAGTCCATGGTTTATATAACACTGGGCTTCTTTCCTTCAGTATTTCCCATTGTCTGTTTGTCTTCAGGAAGGGTTTGGGGAGGCTAGTTGGAAGTATCTGTCAATCTCCTCCAACTTTTTCCCACATGCAGAAAGCTTATGGTCTGCTCTGGTGAGTTTCAGAAGCATCAAGTGCACCTGAGTGTAGGCCGATGAGATTGACATTGTGTGGTGCTGGGGAATAAGTTCCCAGTATTTACAGTAGCCCCCATCCTTTAGCTACAGCTTCAGTTATATTACGTGGAAAATTCTGGAAACTATTTTAAATAACTCAATTTGAAGTGTCATCGCAACTGTAATCTTTTAGTACCGATTACTTTGTTGGTTTCCTATATGTAATTTATAAAGCAAACACATTCATAGGCATGCACATATAGGAAAAAATAATAGTGTATGTTGAGTGTGTATTGACTCAGTCAGAACCATGTTTTCAGGTATCTACTGCAGGCCTTGGAAAGTGTCCCCTGTAGTTGTGCACCATGCTATCTGGGTTGGAGTCCCTTCTTGGGATTAGATGAGTTCACTAGAAGTGCCTTCTCCGGTAAAGACAGTAAAGACAAGATCAGTGGTGCAACCTCAAGCCTGTGTCCCCAGCCTATCCAAGTACTGTTTCCTTCTACCCAGAGTTTCCCCAACAAGGGTTGGAAGCCTTGGCCGTATCCAGCTATCACCTGATTTTGTAAATGAGTTTACTGGACACAGCTACACTTCTATT